TTGGTTTGACAAGATTTTGGAACTGCTTGTTATAGATAGGTATCCACACAGATAAGCATTTCTGTTCACCCAAATTTTAATTTTGATTTGCTAGCAAATGTGTTCCCATTTATTACCTGTGTAGGCTTAAAGGAGGGAAAAAAGATGGAGATGACCAGCAATTTTGAGCTGTTTATTCTTTGATGATGATGATGATAGTAGTGGTGCAAAATAACGTCAATATAATAATGAATTCATTCACGTTCAATAGTCATTTGTAAAAGTTATGGTGTTAGTGGGCACATTATAAATTGCAAAGAAGAACCTCTCTAAGTTGCATCTGAACTTCTCTTTCCCCTGGTGAGCCTGGGAAATGGACGTAGGCAGAATTATCTTGGTTGTTAGTGAACTTGTAAAAAAATAATCGTAGAGTTGGAGATAGTGAAAGAAATGCAACAACAGTAGCTGCCTATTGGGGACACAGGTGGCGCTGTGGTCTAAACCACTGAGCCTCTTGGGCTTGCCGATCAGAAGGTCGGCGGTTCGAATCCCCATGACGGGGTGAGCTCCCATTGCTCGGTCCCTGCTCCTGTCAACCTAGCAGTTCAAAAGCACACCAGTGCAAGTAGATAAATAGGTACCACTCCAGCGGGAAGGCAAATGGCATTTCCATGCGCTGCTCTGGTTTTGGTGTTCCGTTGCACCAGAAGCGGCTTAGTCATGATGGCCACATGACCCGGGAAAACTGTCTGCAGACAAACGCTGGCTCCCTCGGCCTGTAAAGCGAGATGAGCGCCGCAACCCCAGAGTCGTCTGCGACTGGACCTAACTGTCAGGGGTCCTTTACCTTTAGCTGCCTATTGAGTATGTCATGGAAGTCCAGCCCTGGAGTTATGAGAGCATGAACAGCAAAAAGGAAACAGGGCTGAAGAGAAAGGAGAATGGGGTTGAACAGTTAAAGAAACAAGTGGGGCAATTGATCAAGACCATGAGTTGGAGTGACCAGGTGAGACCTTGGCAAGTATGAGAGCTTTCTTCTCCCCACCCTGCTAAAATGCACTGCCCTTCATAAACTCACTTTTATCTGCAATCCGCGTTTAGCTGATTTCAGTTCCCTGCTATGGGCAGATACTGAATAAAGCTGCAAAAATACTCAAAAGAGATTGACTGACCTTTGTAAAATAAAACTAGTGCTGCAATCCTAAGCACATTTAACAAGGGAGCAAGAGCTCTGTAGGGTTTGTTTCCAGAATAAACCCAGTTAGGACTGCTGTGAAATTATACGTGCTGGAATATGGTGCTGCTGTTTCCCTAAGTGATGAGCTGCTTCAAGAGCAATGCTTGGCTTCTTTTGGAAGATCACCCAAACTAGTGGCATGCTTGTAACACATCTGGTTTTTTTACATACATAGACAAACTTGAATATAGGTGGAGGCAAACAGCATAGGCCAACTTTAGGCAGCGGATTATATACATTATCCCCAGAAAGAGATATTTGCGACCCTAAAGATTCCTTCCATTCTTCAACTCAGCCCCTAATACTTCAGTCTGTCTGCTTCAATCTGGGTCCCCTGGAGAGCAGAAGATGAATCGCTTCCTGAAGATTCAGATGGGTTTCACATTCAGGGCCGTCTTCATCCAGGGGTGCGGCAAATTCTGAGGGGCGCTAAATGTATACCTACTGTATACCGGTCCCTCTTGATTGGCGGCAGTGAAAAGCAATGGAGTGAAAGTCCCCTCCCCCTTCCTCCGTTGCTCTGTTACTCCGTAGCGTCAAATATTCCTGACAAGCCAGGAAACAAAAGCAGTTTTATCCATTGCGTCGTTGTTACAGGTGACAACCCCCTAAAGAAGGTCAACAACTTTGGCTTCCCCCCTCCCAAAAAAGCTCAATAAAAGTTAATTTGGGGGCGCTGGGCGGATCTTTGCACCCCAGTGGTGCATATGCTGAAGACGGCCTGTTTACATTCCACACCATTCTCCAATAAAGCAGGGGTGGATGGGGAACTTGTGGTTCTCAAGATGTTGGACTCCCACCGGTTCTAGCCAGCATGGCCAGTGGTCAGGGATTATGGGGATTGCATGGGAGGTTCCCCAATCCTGCCCTCAAGAGCCGTTCATTGAGCATCTTGGGTCATTAGCGAACAATTTGATCCATAGCAGATATAGAAAACAGAGACATACTTGGCCAGCATTCATAACAGTAGGCTTAAAAGATAAATCCCCAGGAAGCAAATGTTATTCTATAGAATGAAGCCGGACTAGGAAAAATCGAGAAATTTGATATTTTATTTCTAGCTTCATTTGTCTTTTTCTTTTATGTGAAATTTATTTCATTGTTTATTTTCCCCGCATGTTTATAAATTGCTTAATAACAGAACAGTCTCCAAGTGTTTGCTGTTAACTGTGAAATGTATGCAGAAAATCCCATTCATATTCTCCGACATAAATTATATAATGCAAAATCCACTTTACAGATTTCACAGATATAAAATTTAATAGACTCAAACTTCTGTGAAGAAGATCCTGCTTCCTTGGTTGCTCAGCTGGATGCAAAATACTATCTTCTCCTATCAGCAGGGAGCAAACAAACCACTATATTTTTCCAATGGCTCAGTTGGGGGCAAACAAATTCTATCATCCAGTAGCCCTGGACGCCGGAAGCAAACAACTTACATAAAGTGTGAAGGAAGGGAGGAAACCAGCACATTAAAGGAGGCTAGTCTTTGCAATCCAGAGAATTCCTTCTGCGCTGTGGAACAGTTTGTTGTGCATATGCAAGACGGATGTGCAAGAACTTCGCAAGAGGAAAAGCAGGTTGCGTCCAGAGAATCTGTACCATGTAAAGACGCTTGCTTCACACAGCTAATAGTGGACATGATTTGTGAAAGGGTTTGCAGATCCATTTTTCTCCCCATTCATTCCTTCATTTCTCCCTTGATTGTTATCTAGTCAAAGAGTGAGCTTTGTTGCTGTTTAGTCGTTTAGTCGTGTCCGACTCTTCGTGACCCCATGGACCAGAGCACGCCAGGCACTCCTGTCTTCCACTGTCTCCCGCAGTTTGGTCAGACTCGTGTTTGTAGCTTCGAGAACACTGTCCAACCATCTCGTCCTCTGTCATCCCCTTCTCCTTGTGCCCTCCATCTTTTCCAACATCAGGGTCTTTTCCAGGGAGTCTTCTCTTCCCATGAGGTAGCCAAAATATTGGAGCCTCAGCTTCAGGATCTGTCCTTCCAGTGAGCACTCAGGACTGATTTCCTTCAGAATGGAGAGGTTTGATCTTCTTGCAGTCCATGGGACTCTTAAGAGTCTCCTCCAACACCATAATTCAAAAGCATCAATTCTTCGGTGATCAGCCTTCTTTATGGTCCAGCTCTCACTTCCATACATTACTACTGGGAAAACCATGGCTTTAACTATACGGACCTTTGTTGGCAAGGTGTGGTCTCTGCTTTTTAAGATGCTGTCTAGGTTTGCCATCGCCTTTCTCCCAAGGAGCAGGCATCTTTTAATTTCGTGACTGCTGTCACCATCTGCAGTGATCATGGAGCCCAAGAAAGTAAAATCTCTCACTGCCTCCATTTCTTCCCCTTCTATTTGCCAGGAGGTGATGGGACCAGTGGCCATGATCTTCGTTTTTTGATGTTGAGCTTCAGACCATATTTTGCGCTCTCCTCTTTCACCCTCATTAAAAGGTTCTTTAATTCCTCTTCACTTTCTGCCATCAAGGTTGTGTCATCTGCATATCTGAGGTTGTTGATATTTCTTCCGGCGATCTTAATTCCGGCTTGGGATTCATCCAGCCCAGCCTTTCGCATGATGAATTCTGCATATAAGTTAAATAAGCAGGGAGACAACATACAGCCTTGTCGTACTCCTTTCCCAATTTTGAACCAATCAGTTGTTCCATATCCAGTTCTAACTGTAGCTTCTTGTCCCACATAGAGATTTCTCAGGAGGCAGATGAGGTGGTCAGGCACTCCCATTTCTTTAAGAACTTGCCATAGTTTGCTGTGGTCGACACAGTCAAAGGCTTTTGCATAGTCAATGAAGCAGAAGTAGATAATCACGCAGCTAATAGTGGACATGATTTGTGAAAGGGTTTGCACATCCAGTTTTCTCCCCATTCATTGCTCCCTTGATTGTTATCTAATCAGAGACTGGGCTTACTTTAAACAGATTCCAGAGGAAAGGTTTGGTCTGTCTTTTTAAATGGGGGAGCATTCAAACATGCAACCCACACGTTCTCACTGAAGCAGTGCAGTCCAAGAACGTCTTTGCCACATGACTCTTCTGATTGTGGAAACTGAGTCCTGTATACCTGAAGGAGCGTCTCCACCCCCATCGTTCAGCCCGGACACTGAGATCCAGCGCTGAGGGCCGTCTGGCGGTTCCCTCATTGCGAGAAGTGAGGCTACAGGGAACCAGGCAGAGGGCCTTCTTGGTAGTGGCGCCCGCCCTGTGGAACGCCCTCCCATCAGATGTCAAAGAGATAAACAACTACCTGACATTCAGAAGACATCTTAAGGCTCAGGGAAGTTTTTAATGTGTAACGCTGTACTGTTTTTAACACTTGATTGGGAGCCGCCCAGAGTGGCTGGGGAAACTCAGCCAGATGGGCGGGGTATAAATAATAAATTATTATTATTATTATTATTATTATTATTATTATTATTATTATACCTGACTTGCCCACTAATTCCTACCAGCAAAGTACCTGTCCAAGTCCTGATTTGCTATTTGGCTTGATTTCATTGCATTTTAGGTGCCGAAGATAGGAAGGAAGAATAGGAACACTTTTAGTTATTTTCGTTTTCTAAAAAAAGTTTTCATAATACCCCACCTTTTTTAAAGCAAAAAAACAAACAAAAAAACCCAGTTGCTAATGTGTTGTTTTCCGATCCGTGTAATCAGGGGTGGTTTATTGTCTGTTTAAATGGCAACAATGCCGACTTACCAGCAGGCACCGCAGATTTCTTAATTCCGCCTCTGACCTCAAGCTTCAAAACAAAATTTTCCCATTGCCAGTTTCCATGTTTATCTTTTAAATGACAGACGTGGTTTTGACAAAGCCAGAGTAAACCCTGGTAAGCCTTCGCTCCATTGTAACTATTTCCCAGCAAATAACGCTGTGGGGAAAATGGAATGTATTTCAGAGATGTGCTTAGTATTGGTCTTGCTCTTGTTAGAGCATTGGTTATTAATATATCTGCATACAACAGCAGCCAGAGACCTGTTATTTGCTTAACGGAAAGCATACGAAACGTTAAGGGGAGTTATTGTGCTGGTCAGATTAGCAGCCGGGAGCAAACTACGTGTGATTCATCCGTCACATCTGGCGTTCATCTGTCTGCCCCCCCCCCCATGTTAAAACATGGGGTTTCTACTTTGTGAATCTCTGCATGTGGGGATGAAAGCCTTTCTTATGAGAGCCAGTGTGGTGTAGTGGTTAAGAGCAGTGGACTCATAATCTGGGGAACCGGGTTCGCATCCCTCCTCCTCCACATGAAGCTGCTGGGTGACCTTGGGCTAGTCATACTTCTTTGAGGTCTCTCAGCCTCACTCCCCTCACAGAGTGTTTGTTGTGGGGGAGGAAGGGAAAAGGAGATTGTTAGCCGCTTTGAGACTCCTTTGGGTAGTGATAAAGCGGGATATCAAATCCAAACTCTTCTTCTTCTTTTTCTTCTTATTCCTTGCTACTTTTGGGACAAGAGGGTTGGAGTGATGCAGCCCAAGGCACAGTATTCACATGCAGCACAGAAAGTAGGGTTGAGAAGAGCGTGCTGCGGTTATACTTTGCCGCAAGAGATCCCCCCATTTCCTGCTCACCTGTGTGGGGTGTTTCGCCTTGGCAGCCCCAGCTGATGGAATAGACCAGTGGTCCTCAAACTTGTTTTCTACGGGCCGCACTTTCAGAATAAAAATTGGCTCGCACCACACCGAGAAAACATTGGAAAACAAAAAGAAAACAACTCCTGGGTGCGCTTGATTTATCACATAGAACACAGCTACTTTATAATAGGAACATGGGTCATCCTTAAAGTATAAAAGAATGCAGCTACATAAGAACATGAATCCTTCTCAAAACAGAATTATAAGCAAGTCTCTTATATATGTACCATATAAACTCAATGAGAGGCGAGCGCTTGCTCTTGCTGGCTATTCTCATTTATATTATGTCTAATTTGAAACAAAAAAACCCCTCTCATCTCCTTGTTAATGCACAAAAGCCTTTCTCTTTCGTGATCTTTCATACTTGTCATACTTGAATTTTTTGGGAAAATATATCTATCCATATTCTGCAAATTTTATATATGTGTGTGTGTGGATAGATGATAGGTAGAAAGATAGATAAGATAGATTAGATGATAGATAGATAGATGATGATAGATAGATAGATAGATAGATAGATGATAGATGATAGATAGATATAGATAGATGATAGATAAAGATGATAGATAGATAGATGATGATAGATATAGATAGATAGATGATAGATAGATAGATAGATAGATAGATGATAGATAAATAGATAGATGATAGATACTATGCTACACTGAAGTGTGCCTTTGATTGTCCTTGAATCTTCCTGCCACACCCTTTGAGAATGACTGGAATAGAGCACGGTACAGTGGTACCTCAGGTTACAGACGCTTCAGGTTACAGACTCTGCTAACCCAGAAATAGTACCTCGGGTTAAGAACTTTGCTTCAGGATGAGAACAGAAATCGTGGGGCGGCGGTGGCAGCGGGAGGCCCCATTAGCTAAAGTGGTACCTCAGGTTAAGAACAGTTTCAGGTTAAGAATGGACCTCCAGAACGAATTAGGTTCTTAACCCGAGGTACCACTGTATTGGTGTTTTTGTGGCCAGAATACTTGTCATGATCTTAGAAAGTGAAGGTCCAGCTGTGTGCTCAAGCTGCAGAGAGAAGAGGCCTTGCGCAAAGTGTTCTCTTCCAAAGTGATCCTCAAGGAAGCACAACGCCCTGCTAAGGAGATGCCGCCCCACCTTGCATTGCGCTGCTAGCTAAAGTTATGGCTCTCCTGTGTTTTTATCCTTGGTGGTGTGCTGCGATTGGCTGCTGAGTTGTACTAATTGAGGTGAAAAGGAAAGAAATTCCTTCCGCCGGGTGTGGAGGTGTTGCAGAGTTGCACCATGAATGGGGACCTGGCCACTGGATGGAAGGGCTAGCTCCACCCATGAGGCAAGGTGAGGTGACTGCCTCAGGTGGCAGGATCCACAGAGACAGCACATCAACCCTTCAAGGAATGCCTCGCCCGTCACTTCTGCCACTGCCGTGGTCGCAGCAACGACTGCAGCACACTCAGTAGAGGCTGGATCTCCTGTCTCCTCAGCAGCTTTCTCCCCCCTCCCCAAATATCGCCTCTACAGTGGCCTCTTGGTGAATAGGTACCTATGACATATGGGAGGTATCCTGCTCGCATATTTCTCATGGCAGCGGTACAGCCAGTCAGCTAGTATATTTTAAATACAGTGGTACCTCAGGTTACAGACACTTCAGGTTACAGACTCCGCTAACCCAGAAATAGTACCTCGGGTTAAGAACTTTGCTTCAGGATGAGAACAGAAATCGCGCAGCGGTGGCAGCAGGAGGCCTCATTAGCTAAAGTGGTACCTCAGGTTAAGAACAGTTTCAGGTTAAGAACGGACCTCCAGAACGAATTAAGTTCCTAACCTGAGGTACCACTGTATAGGATTTCGTCCCAAGTCTCTTTCAGTGGGACTTACTCAAAAGAAAGTGAACAGAGTGTTGTAGTTTTAGATGGCCTCGAATCTTTGCAACCTGGCAGGTGGTATGGGGCAGGAATTTACAGAGTGGATGCCAGCATGGCTAAGCCGGGACAGAGCAGTAACACTTACGCATTTCAAGGGTTGGGGACTTAAACATACATACATGCACAGTTTTGTCCGCCTGCCACCTTTCCACAGTTCAAACCCTGCTCAAACACAGAGAAAACAGATAACTGCAACATAGCAAAAGGATTTAGAAACAATAAACAAAACATCAAAAAATGCACAACCAAACCGAACTATTTCCACATAAATTGCACGATCGAAAATAAAGATGAAAAAACAAAAGCAACAAATTTCCCCTGAAAAACAGCACACCAGTATAGTCGATTGAGCTTGCACATCACAGTGGAAGCAGTTAGGACTGCCCTTAGTTTGCCTGTTGAGGCAAAGGAGATGGAAAGGACAAAAGCCTCTTCAGGCATCCCTCCAAATGTGGGCAGCCTTTTACATTAAGTCTCCCATTTAGTGGAGGATAAAAAATATTTTTTAAAAAACCCTATATTCCTGCAGGGGGATGGAATGGTGAATTCACTGAGTTCTTTTCTAATGTCCAAAATTCTCCCCTGCCAGAATGAGAGCTTTTGGGCTGCTACTGCTGTTATTATTTTTTAATGTTCACATCGCAGCATCTTACATTTGACTATTTTCAAGCCCAAAGCTTGAGTAAGGCAGCGCAATAATTGAAGATGCCTCCTTTCCCCTTGAACTGGGATCCACCTTGAAGTGAGGAGAGGGCAAAAGAGGTGATTGTCTTCTAACACTTTCACCCCCCAGACTGTAATAATAATTATTTGTTTATACCCCGCCCATCTGGCTGAGCTTCCCCAGCCACTCTGGGCAGCTCCCAACAGAATAATAATAATAATAATAAAGCAATAAAACATCAGACATTGAAAAATTCCCTAAACAGGGCTGCCTTCAGATGTCTTCTAAAAGTCAAGTAGTTGTTTATTTCCTTGACATCTGATGGGAGGGCGTTCCACAGGGCAGGCGCCACTACCGAGAAGGCCCTCTGCCTGGTTCTCTGTAGCTTCTCGCAGGAGTTAGGTTAGGAAGGAAGTTGTGCTCCTCCATGGGCAGAACCAAGATACTGTATTTTTCGCTCCATAAGACGCACCTTTTTCTTCCTAAAAAGTAAGGGGAAATGTCTGTGCGTCTTATGGAGCAAATGCGTGGTCCCTGGAGCCGAATTGCCCAGGGGCGAAAATCAGATCATGCTCTCTTTTTTTTGAAAGAGGGAAGTAGGTGTTGAAACAAAGCCGCTAATGGGCAAGCAATTGGGGAGGGAGATAAGGGACGCTAGCAATAAAGGAGGCTGCCTGGGAGGGGGGAGGTAAAGACAGCGAACTTGGAAGGAGAGGAGACAGGAAGACTAAAGCAATGAGGAGAGAAATTAGAAGAAAAGGAGGAGCAAAAAACTGCTCCAGCTAAGGAAAAGACACTAAGGCAAACAAGAGGGAAGGGAGTGTTGAAAGGAAGCAGCTGATCGGCAAGCGATCGGGGAGAGAGATAAGAGATGCTAGCAATAAAGGAGGCTGCCTGGGAGGGGGGAGGTAAAAGCCCATGGATCCTCAGGATTTTTGCATTGGGTCACCCCAAATTCACCATCAGATCACATAGCATGTCCATGGCTACAGCCTGCACCAAAAAACCCACACATCCACTATTACGTGGGGCCGCAATGGCACAAAAGCGTGGTTACAAAGCATGGATCCACATGGATCCTCAAGATTTTTTGCATCGGGCTACCCCAAACTCACCGTAAAATCACATGTCTGTGGCCACAGCATGAACCACAAAAATCATACACCCACTGTTTCATTCAGAATATTTTTTTCTTGTTTTCCTCTGAAAACTACGTGTGTCTTATGGTCAGGTGCGTCTTATGGAGCGAAAAATACGATCGGATGGATGGGAGAGGGCAAAAGGAAATCAAGGATTACAGATGTGCAGGCCTAAGGAAAATTGGAGGAGGAGTTTAAACATTTTTTTATTTTTTCAGGGGGGGAATGGACTTGAGGATTAAAAAAAACTAAAAAATGAACTGTTTTCTTCTTTAGAGAAAATGCTTTTAAGACAGGATTTTAAAATTTTTGTTCAGCTGCACTTTACCCTGTCAAAATGGGGAAACTGTTGACATGCTTAGGTCCTGCTCTGGGGCTTCTCAAAGGTATTTGGCTCATCACTGTGGGAACAGGAAGCTGGATTTGAGGGGACCAGGTCTGAGGCTACAGGCTTTCCTCACATTTTTATAATTCATTTTAGGATCTTAAAGTAATAAGGGTATGTCTAGAATTGGTAAGACAATAACTGTCACATATATTTCAATTTCCCCTAACATTTCTATTTCATTTCTCGTTACTGGGGGAGAATGGGAGGAGGGAATTGTACATTCGTCAGGGCTTCAAAATCTTTAGCCAAATTTCACCTACATAGTTTGGAAATATATTGGAAGAATGAGGGTCTTCTGCAAAGTATTTCAGCCTGGAAGTAAAATGAGAAATGCCCCTTGTTTTTTGTTTATCAAGATAATAAAAAAAAATTCATTTGTGAGATAAAAAACTTGCTGCTTCAACTGCCTCTGCACAACAGGTGTGCCAAGTCTCTTAGGGCGACTTTACATACTACGTTTTAATTTGTGAGTGCTAATGTTTGTGTCGAAGAAAACACACAACTAAGCAATTTATGAATGGTGGCTTTGGTTTCATTTTCTGTGTGGGGATACTGATATATATGTATCCGATTCCTGATACGTAAACCTGGAATAATACACGTTTGCTGCTTCTCCCTTATTACATGGCACACTCTTCTTATACTCATACTCAGGTTGCAATAAGTATATTATGTCATTGCCATGTTCTTTTATGCAAAGAGGGGGTCCTCTCTCTAGACCAGGCACCCCCAAACTCAGCCCTCCAGATGTTTTGGGACTACAACTCCCATCATCCCTAGCTAACCGGACCAGTGGTCAGGGGTGATGGGAACTGTAGCACCAAAAACAGCTGGAGGGCTGAGTTTGGGGATGCCTGCTGTAGACTTTCCTACAGCTTGACAACAAAAAAAGTCCTTGTTTTAGGAATATGGAAGGGTGCTTGAAGTCCTTCAAAGCTAAATTGGAGTCTGC